CACACACACACACACAATTTGTTCATAACAAGCGTTTTTTTATTGCATGGATGCATTCATTTGCAGGCGAATGTCCGTGGCTCGATATTGCGCTAATTAAAAGCCTTTTCACAACTGCATCACATTTATTCCCCAGCGTTGCGTATGCAATTGGATCGATTCCCACTTATCCCAGTGGTTTGATGGGTTATTTGGTTTGCTCCAAAGATGAGGTTATTTGTTTTCAGCAAATTGTTTCTTATTTATTTTTGTCAGTTTTGATCACCTGTGATTTATGTTCATTTAGCTACAGGATAGGCTTTCGGCGGTCATGAGAGAAAGTAAAATCTGTTAATTTGAAATATATTGCATTTTGCTTAGCTTTTTTTTAATGATAGGGTCAGTGGACTCCTTTTTGTCACTAAAAAACAGCACTCGTGAGAAGAAAAAAAAACATTGCTCTGCTGATCACCGAAGAGGTAATTTTCGTGGTAGAGATGATTGCAAGTTAGAGGCCTGCAGCCGAACCCAGGAAAGCTGACTTTTCTCTGGAACAGTGGAACCCCCTTAAGTTATTCGATAGTGCGAGTGTCCTGCTGATAACCGGAAGCGCCAAAAATTAGAAAAAAAAGATCTAACTTCGCTTGCTTTTTGTATATTTTCTTGTAAATTATCTGGTTTTGCTTGCGCCAATGATCGAAATACACTTTCCCGCCAGCCAAAAATATCATTAGACCTTGCACACAGAGATCCAGTATTCCAGGTGCAGTTAGTAACTTTTAAGCTTCTTCACTAGTGCAGTTCAAATTTATTTAATAACACATACGACATTGTTGTTTCGTTTCTCCAGGTTGTTTGTTTCCGCAAGTGATGACTTTTTTTAGTGAAAAATAAGCGATGGTCCTACCACCAATTTCTTTGTAAATTTTAGAAAAATAGCGTCAACTGCAGCCTTGCTAAAGGGTAGCTACTGTTAGAAATTCTATTTAGAGTACTCCCTTGTGCCTGTGTCTAATCGTAATGAAGTTAAAATTTCTGAATTGATGGCGGTCAACTCATAGGAGACGCAAGAATTTGACGCCAGATTTTCTAATTTTTCCTCTATTTCTAATTTCCTGCATCAACACGAAATATTATTAATAGCAATGTTTTTTTTTTATTATTGAAAAGCATCAACCATCTCCGATCTCAGCCTTCATTTATGTCATCGTTTTAGAATAATGATGTCAAAGTGCCACAGCGTACTCTTACGGATGAGGAAGTGAGGGATTGGAATCTGAAGTATTATAATTCTGATCTTCATCGCGCAGCTTTTACACTGCCGCAGTTCATCAAAAGTGTTAGTTCTCATTTATTTTGGTTTGCTCTAATCTCTCATCACTGCGTACCCTCTCGTCGTTTCTTTCCACTTCCTTCAAAT